TCCAGCTGACATCACTCTTCAGTAGGTCATTGATTGGTGCAGCAACTGAAGATAAACGAGGAATGAACCTGGCCAACCGATTCACCTTGCCCACTAGTCGTTTCACTTCGGCTTTGTTAGTTGGTGGCACCATCTGTATGATAGCTGCTACCTTTGCAGGGTCGGTATGGATGCCGTCCTTGTCCAGCTTCATGCCAAGGAAGTCATCCTTTCTCTGAGTTAATTTGCACTTGTATCAGTTGAGCTTCAGCCCAGCGTTCTGTATAATCGTGAGAACGTGTTAAAGCCGTTCATCGTGTTCTTCTTTTGTGCGGCCAGTGACCAGAACATCATCCATGTATACCACAACCCCTTGTATTCTGATCAACAGGTCACTCTTTTTTCGTTGGTACATTTCTGGAGCTGACGTGATGCCAAAAGGGAGTCGCTCGAAGCAAAAGCACCCGAAGGGCTTGATGAAGGTCGCTAACTCCTGGCTGTCCTCAGCGAGTGGTACTTGCTAGAAGCTGTGTTTGGCATCAAGGAAGGAGAATATCTGGGCGGCTGATACCTTTCCCAAGACTTCTTCTACAGTCGGTATGGCGAATCTCTCCCTGGTTATGGCTGTATTTAGCCGTCTGACTGAGATCGACAGATAAACGGATAGCACCATTCTTTTCGGTGCAATCACAATGGACGAACACCAATCAGTGGGTTTGGTGATTCGCTGAATGATGCCCAGATTTTCCATCTTTTCTAATTCTTCCTTCAGTTGGGGCATGAGAGGGATGGGGATACGACGACGAGGTTGTGACACAGTAAGGAGTGGCTTCTTCATCTATCTTGATGTTGACTGTTTGTCTATGCAGACATCCCCCTCCTACAAAAACACTCTCATGGCCGAATAGAGTGTAGACACGTTGCACCAAGTCAAGTGATTCACGGGCGTTCTTGCCAATGACTGGTTCCCCCTGAGCCAAAATGAGGAACCGCAAAGTCCGAGTCTTACCTTTGACTTGGCATATCAGTGTGGTCTGGCCGATGGGCGTGGCTTTCCTCCAAAGAAGCCAGTCAGACGAGTCGAGGATGGCTGGAGGTTTTTATCAGGGATATTCAGTGAGTTGAAAATGTCAAGCGGAAGAATATTGACGTCTAATCCAGTGTCGAGCAGAAATGACACTGCGTGGCCGTGAATGTATACATCTTGCCTCCAAATGTCATCAATGGGCAGCTGCATGTGGCGGACAGCACCAATAAAAAAATCATTTTCTGCAACACTGCTGGTCATGTCATCCTCTTCCGAATCAGTCAGGAGAATGGCTCGCATTGTTTGGGCCTCGAGCGGCAGACTGTGGAGGAGTGGCCCATCTTGTTGCAGTTCTTACAGTGTTTTCCTGTGGCAGGGCATGTTTTGTAGGAGGAGTCATAGCCACACTTATTACACAATCCCCCACTACGCCGATGGTGGGGGGAACGCTGATCCTTGCTTGAAGGTTTGTTGAAATGCCGTGGCTGGCGCGGTTTCACCTTTTGAACAGCCTGGACGACGGTGCCGTCTCCCCTAGCCTTGATTTCCTGTAGATCCTTTGTTGCTGTCTCGAGTGTTTTGGCTGGTTCAATGGCCTTAAACCATCTTTAGTCAGCAGGTGTTTCAGGATAAACTCACTGGGTATACCACAGATCAGGCAATCACGGAGGGCATGGTCTGGAAAAGAGCCGAATTTACACGGCCCTGTCAGGGTTTGTAGTTCAACGGAATACTGTGCCATGGTCTCACCAGGTTTTTGACCGCGCTGATAGAACCGAAACCGTTCAGCGATCACAAGGTGTTCGGCCCATAATGAGACCTCCCCCCCCCTCTGACTGCGACATGATGGGAAACTACCGTTGAGTAACGTACATGCAAAACGTACACGTGCGGCAAAAATCGGACAACTACTACCAAACTTTTGGACCCCAAAATTCTGCACTACGAGGCTGGTTATATCCTCTATACGTTACTGCTATGTCCGCTAATATTTACTGGGACCACCGCTACCACTATGTTGTATATATGGGTTCTTTCTATCCTGTAAATGGGACAAAAGGAACGGACTCACCAAACGTCAGTTTAGCTCTTTTACTCATTTGCCTTGCTCGTTTACCCGTTTCACTCTTTATTTTACTCTTCTTACTGTTTATTTTGCTCTTTTTATTGTTGCGTTTTATTGTTCATTTACAGTTAAACTCTATGTGATTGTGTTCCTTTAAAGGATTTGACGAGGATTTGACTGAGCTGTAACTCTTATACCTCAGTGGCCAATCATCATTTTTTGCCACTCATTTGGCGAGAGGTATGAGTTATATGCAATGAAATAAGCAAGTCACGAATACATGAAATACATGTCTATGTATATACATCCTATACTGACCAATTTCGTTTGTTTCGTGTCATTTAAAGGTCATCCTTCCAAGGATCAACATGAATGTTATTTATGCATTCAAGCCCTGGTTTTTCACCAGTGTGACAACGGTTTTGGACGGAAGTCTAATCTAGAGAGAAAAATATCCTCGCTGAGGAAGAATCAGACATGAATGGAATTAACAATGATTCGGAACCTGTTGAGGCTGATGACAAAACCTCGAACGAAGACAGTTAAGAACTGGAAGACAATGCCACCTACGAAGATTGACTGGCTGAAGCCAAAGAAACAAATAGGGGGATGAGGGATACAAAAGACTGGTACGTCAACAAAGGCATGAATGAAGATCAAGCCATGCAGAAGGCAAACAGAAAGACCCTCTGAGCAGTCAAGCAAGACCTTTTCGACAAATACACGTAGGTGTTTCTGTCAAGTTACCTGTATTTGAGGGATAATGAAACTCGTACGGCTATTGTGGATGATCTCAACGGAAAACTTGATAAAGGCATGAAAATCAACTACGCCTTGAATAGTGGATGGCGAATCCAAGTTTGAGAAGCTGAATGAAGCAGACATCTTACGCAAGCATTAATTTCGTCACTACAGGCTGACCAACTGGGCCGACATCACTTTGGGCGTCGGCCGGGCGTGGCGAAGGAGCAAACACATCCCCTTGCTTGATTCGAGCAGTTTGACGATGTTACATTTTCTTTGACAAAAATCATAATAAATAAAGCGTACAGTCAACCTAGCACGAGGATTTTTGATGAGTCCAGCATACCCTGTGGTGCAGAAAAGCTCACAAGATGCTGTTTCGATGGTACAGACAAGCACCTATCTGCCACTGCTTCCTTTCCCATTCTGACTGCCCACTATTAGTGGTTAACAGCTGTTTACCAGGAAGGCCTTTATAAAAATACCCATTTATGAATCAAGCCGGTGTTATATTATAATACGCACCTGGATTATGAAACGGCACTATCAGCATTATGCAGGGGCGTGGACACAAAAGAAGAGGCTTACGTGGATCACATGGTAGGGGAAGGGAAGTGCAGGAGGGATGTCCGTGATTAGAATCACGGATAAAGTTGTATCCTTTGCTTGTCCCTTTTTTTTAAGTTTGTTTCCTTCATAGGGAAGATGATTTTTCGAAGGTTGTTTAATCTCTTTCCCAAATTTGTAGCGAAGACGTTAATTTAATTGAAGGGTACTCGCGTCATACAATGGACCTGCTTGTTAGGTTAGCACATATATCACATAATACGATAATAAATTTCTTCCATGTTAGGACTATTTGGCACAGTAAACGCCTCGATCTCATTTAACGGCGGTGGAAAGTCTGATTGGGTGATACAAATATCGAAATGGGGAAATAATCATCACTGGTCCTGCAACTGAGAGATTACCGGAGAGAAACGGAAATCGTTCGAGAAACCAAAGCCTGGTTTCACAGCTTTAAGTATACATGTATAACTGTATAGGTTCCTCTCACGTAGGCGTACTACATGTATGATAAACACCATTGGAGATGTACGCCTACTGCATACGACCTGTGATAGAGTTAAGGTTGTTGTCCATCCTTTTATAGAAGTGGTGTATGGGGATTCTTTCCTTATGTTTTTCTTTATAACCCTTTTGCATATCTGTCAGAAACTATTACATCTCGCCATTCACAAAGAAATACAGTTTACACTCCGGTGTTTTATGGTATGATATACTCGTGCACTATTTCCACGTGGTACAAAGGTAATGAACTGCATATGTCAGATACTAAACACGCTACGCCCTAGCCTCAAGCAGCCTCCAATCTAACTGGATCTGCTTCCAAGATGTAAGTCATATTTGCTTTGATCAATGCCTCGACTACCGTTTCCCCCCTTACCAAAAAATGGCCCGACTGTTTTTTTTATCATATACCAAGTATTTTAAACAACGTCTAAAAACAGATGTTCAATTCTTGACTTCAATTAACGAACACCTTCGTTATTTGAAGTCATGAAAAATGACAAAAACGTCGGTTTCCAGACTCTCAGATATATTCCATGTTTCAAAAGGAGGAAAATGGTACCAGTCTAGAAGCGACGGCATTTGCAAGCCTCAATCCTTAAAATTTACAGTCTTCTCTGTTGTGCTTCGCACTCAGAATACTGAGTGAATAGAAGTTTGGTGTAGGGATCCACAAAGTAGATAAACACGCTGCCCAAACTACATTTTGGGACTTTTCTCAGACTAAAAGTCGTCAAGATGTCACGTTGGCTGCACACTGCTTCCCGTTTGGACTTCTGAAGAGCCACCTTGCACCAACTCTATACTTAACGTGCAAGTGTTACAACCGACGATAAAGACATTCTGGTCAATGTCCTTGTCAGTAACTAAGTATTCACCGCCGCATCGACAGCTGTAGCTATATACTTCCTCATCTGCAAAGCACAAAGGTCAAGGAATGGAAAAAGGCATCGGTTTCATCTTCACTCTCAAGGCATTACTACTACGAACCTTCCTGAATCCTACAAAACCTGCATTTCATAGGAAACAACGGTAAATTCTTTGTACTTCAACTTTCAAGGGACATCAAGCCCCAGACAGTGGCTGGGCTGTGCATTCTTCAATCCTGCAAAATCCTCCACTCTACAGGAAACCAACAGGCTAAGTATATTAACTGTTCTTTTACTTTTAAGGGAGCATCGTTTCTCGGTTCACAAATCACATTAGGATCAGAGTGTCTTGAATCCTGCAAAGTGTATCAATCCCACATTTGGATTTTGAAGGATCTACAAGGTATGTGCAAAGGTTAAGCTCCATGCCCCCCCCAAAAAAAAACGCAAAAAAAGAGAAAAGAATATCACTTTAAAGGTTCTCTATATCGAGAGGGTATGCTGTAAACTGAGTCAGGAAACTGTGCGATGGTAAAAGCATGCCATGGTCTGATGAAACAGTTGTATTGAAATACGCTGTTCACTTGGGGGCATTTCACAACTTGTTCTACACCTTGTTCACACATACATGTAATTGATTTGTAAACAGGCTGTTGTATGTCTCTTTGTGCGTTTAGACTTTGAACTGAGTCAAACTTAGATTTCTTCACTTTTACGTTTACTTGAAAACGCTCAGGTGAATAAATGTTCAACAGGAAAACTGCATACCTTCTTGCCAATCCATCTCGTCTACATTGACCTTCTCATTTAGAGGCCATAGCTTCCTCATTTCTTTCTCTGCAATTCAATCACAAGTTACTGGTTAAAATGTTGACAGATCTTTAAATTTGATACTGGCTCTGATGTCTTAGAAGATACATGTACTTAAAGCGCAGTTACAGTTTCTTTTACAGAGGCGGAAGGAAAACCCCTGGAGAACATTCTGGGCAAAATCTGGAGAATGGGGTAGGGAATGACATCCGATCAACACTTGGTCTAAGCAACGAATCAAAGGTGAGCGACTATAGGAAGGAACCACTGTGCAAACTAGACTCTCTGACGGGCCCAGGACATCACAAGTGTCTCTTTTGCAACTATCGGCGTGTTGAACATTGCGTGCTGGCAATGATCAACAACCAACTGAAAACCTGGCTTCAACCTTTGTACCTGTCTGCCTCGCATCATATTCCTTCCTGCTGGCCTCGTCACCAAGCGTCCTCCAAGCTGTGTCTACCAGGTAAAATCGCTGTAATGCTGCTGCCCGCTCTGCCTCACTGCACGTTGGGGGCAGCTTGTCAGGATGGCACTAGGACATGGACAACTGAACACTTCAATATTGCATGTACTCTTTCAACTCCTACTTGAGGTTAGGTCTGAAGAGATAGAACATGAACAGTGCTGTACTACCTCTTATGGCCATCTCAAGACACCACAACACCATCATTAGACCAACACAAGACCTCCGGTACNGAATTCAAGTCATAAGCAATTCAAATGAACTCTAAAGCATTCCCTTGTCATTGGCCACCCTGTTACTCGTGACTAGTCTTGTAAACGGTCTTAAACATGTCCAGTCTTGTGACATCTCTTCTGTGACATCAAAACAATCGAAAACAATATCAACCTAAACTCTGATATTTGCAACAGATAGGCAAATATGGTTACCACGGTAATACTTTCAGAGGCCATTCGCAGTAGCCCTTACCGATGGCGGTAAGCCAATAACTACTGTATGGAGTCACTCTTTTGTGAGGCCCTTCGTAGAAATCCAAACTCGTAATTTCTGCCATTTAATGGGAGCCATCAGGAACGTACAGTGAAAATTTACTGCATGTAGAATCAGCTTAATGTACCTGTCAAATGCGTACACAGAAGGCTTCAAAACCTAAATGGGATCCCATTATACAGGGTTGGTAACAATTAGGAAACCTAGACAGCATTGTACAGGTTGGAGTTGTTTTGCCAAAAAAGCCCTCACTACCTTAAGCACTGCCCTCTGGTAACAAGACTTGAGCTCTTGCGAGGAGGCATCCTGTGCTGCTCCAAGAATGTCGTACAGCCCTTCTGAGGTCATCATGAAGTTTTCATCATCTTCATCAAAGGCACTATCAGACCAATTCCCCCTTAATGGTAATCTATGAATAAAACAGCAGAACTAAAGAATTACTAAAGACTACAGACCCACAGTACATCTGCTTCATGATCAGTGCATGCAGTTTTTCAAAACATCAAGTTTGGGCAAGTTTAAAGGATACTGCTGAGTTGGTGGGAAGTGGGGCCCAGGTGTAGCAGACATACTGTGTCGATGGGGGTTTGGGGGCTTCGGGTATATAGGCGATCCTAACGCCGTGGTAACCTCAAGATTCACAAGCCGGATATTCCCCTGCGTCCCATCGTGTCATCAAGGGACTCACCTGCTTAAGAGACTGGCTGTTTTCTGACCCGCATCCTCCAGCCCCCGGTGGGCAACACACCTCACCATACCCAGTTCGTGGAGCTCACAAGAAGTCTGTCACTCCAACCCATCAACATCATGGTTAGCTTCAATGTGGTGAAGCCATCACAATTTTTCAGCACAACACCACCCCCCAAAGACATCAGTTTCAAGCTCAGCGACTGCTGGTGTCCACTGCTAGCACTCCAAGACGACTCCCACCTCCGGGCAGTAGGGTCCCCTATACCCGAAACCCAAGGTTTCCCCCAATTCTGCCTCCCAGCACCACCACAGGATCCAACACCTTCATGCCCCGGTACACGTGTAGCAGTCACATATTCTGTAAATCCCGTTTCACGCTCCAATGCTTCCGGATTACCTTTATAACCTAGCTTCCCACTTGAGTCCAGCACACTCTCCAGAGGACGGTCAGAACATCCTGGCTATATAAAAACGTCACATTAACACTCACCAGTTCTTCGAAGAACCACACCTCTTCTAATAGATTCATTCCACGGTGTACTCACAAGCCTACATCTAAATGCTGTTACTAAGAGAGTACATGATGATAGCGGTGATGTAAAGAGGGTCCAATTTAGAAAAAAAAAATCCCCATTCCATATCATCTAATGCCTCATCCGCATGACCCTCTGCCCTACAAAGTCAAATTCTATGAGTTTTATTTTCTAAAAAAACAAAGAACTGGTCAGATACAAGTACGCAATTACGTACTCTAATTCTCGCATATGCTGACTTAATTTTTTCCACCCACTTCTTTCAGGTTTCTATTTTGATTTTCTACCATATCTTTAAAAATAAAGTGATTAACGTTTTAAACATGCGAGATAAGAAGGCACACAATAATCATTTTCACGATCTTGGAAAAACCCGGCTGGCTTTTCCATCAACAAACCCGGATAGAAAGCACTTAGTCTGAAAAGACTTCTCTAACAACAAGTTGATGCCCCTGTGCAAAAATCACGACAATTGCCTGAAAATAATCATAAATGCTCCTGAATTTTCTCAGCTGAATTTTACTTTTTTAGGACATACATGTACACATGTGATCACGTATGGAACATTTTCCTTTTTTATCCAGGGGCTGGCAAAGAGGTCAGGAAATGCAGTCATCGTAAGCAGGTTGCCCCTGCCTGGTGTACCATAATTCTGAGACTTTGCTTGCGGCCATGGCTCGGCTCATCGGCCTGATCAAGCACATCTCCCCCCCCCCCCCAATTTCCCAACATTATCGCAAGAGATGATCTGCATTGCCGAGACTGGGGTGACTGTTTACGAGTGAACTTCGTAGTTACAGTGTTCAATCATTAATAACACACTGCCGTTTCAAAAACAATGATATTATGAATATAAGAAAGCAAACCGCGCCGGATTCTGGTACAGTACGCACAGCTCACAGCAGGCCTCGGCACGTGCACGTACACTACATGTACATGTACGTACCTCGGGAAAACAGAACCAGACTATTTATTTAAAAATCGAACACCATCCACCGAACCAACGGAACCTTACCAGAAATGCGTCTGGGAAACAGACCAATATAACTCGCACAGAATTTCATGCGCACAGTGAGCGTCAGCGATGTCAAATTGAGGTGAGTGAATGTTCACGATTACCATACCTTATTTCTACACAGTCGGGCTAAAGTATGTCAGTTTGGCATTTGCTAACGACGCAATCATTTCGAATAAGCCTCGGCCCTGGGGTTTTTCCAGATTTAGAGGGCACACAAAGTCGTTTTTCTTCAAGGGCAATGCCAGTAAAGGTCAATGGTAGTCGATCATGTCGATACGCTGCAGCTGTTTCTCGCTGGTAAACGGTACGTCCATCGACTTTGCCTTTACGTTTCGGTTTGTTTGCAGGTTACCAATGAAAGACGGAAGTGGTTGCCCATGCAATATGCCATGTATGCCGCGCCTCAGTGCAGGTTTTTCTTTTGGAGCAAACAGTGAATGAAACGATCCGGGAAGAGTTCCATCTATGGACATCCATATTTTTCCCCCAGTGCTCAATGGGGATATCTCAATCATCAGAAATGATCATTTGTCCTAAAAGTAAAACGTCAAATTTAGCAGGGAAAAAGATAAGCTTAAGACTAAGAGTTCAAAAGGTTTACGGTCCAGACATGACAGAAGGACAATTTGATCGAAATTGAAACCAGTCACACGCATCACATTCATCTGCTCTTCCAATTGCTGCACTCACGAGCAAAATTGTGTATCGGAAGTTTACATTTTTTTCCTGTTAAATGCGTTTAAATATTTTTGGTATACACAGACAATATCACAGGAACTTAATGTAGCCCTACCATCACCATGACGACTGTCCTGAGTGAGCGCGCTCGGAGCAATCTTCTGGTGCACCGTGCATCCATCGCGCAGGACCTAACGGTGGATTATGTGCTGGACCTGTTGATTTCCGATCTCAGTATCAGTTTAGAGGAATCTGAGTTGATTGGTGCCGAGGTATGAAGGCAAAGGGGGGGGCGTATTTTGGAACCAGTGTGGGGTCGTGTGGACATCCAAAATCCATTCACAAAATTGCAGGTAGCAACCACACCGTAGCGATGAAAACAGCAACAAGGAGCATGCACGTACATGTACGTACTGATCAAAGAAAAGATTGGGTACGTCACTATAGTCACTGTTTTCACCGGAACGGTACCTGCCATTTGAGAGAATCACGGATGTCCGCGCTGCCCCATAGTGATTTTGTGTACATGTACACAGGACGCAAGACAACCTCGTTTGTTTGGTTCCCAGATGTCAATGTATAATACAGAAATGACGTCATCTGAAAAAGAGTGCCTGATTACCGGTACATGTGTGGGGAATTAGAGCCTTTAAGGGACTCCTTTACTGTACATATTGCTGTACTTGACCGTATCATATCAAAAACACGTAAAAATTACGCAGTAGCAGTATTTCGCTTCATTGAGCAATTTTGGCAGCTTTTGGACATATACCAAATGAAACATTTTTTTGCAGATCTACAGTGAAATGCACGCTGACCAGAAACTAGAGACTTTTTTTTCAGACAGTTTTTGATTTCTGGATGCATCATTTTCCAAAGGTTACGAGGCGGCGCAAAGCAACCAAACTCCTGGACATCATCGCAACCAAGGGCCAACAGGCCTACAATAACCTGCACAAGGCCCTGAGGGAAAGACACAAACACCTGGCTATCCTTCTGGAAGATGGCGTGACCGTGGACGGCGTTCCCCTCACTCCGGGGATGTCGCCAGATATTTTATCTGAGGAGGAAGGTACATTACGTTGGCACGACTCTACATCTTCTAAAATCAAAATGTACTGATTGAAATTTTGAAACCAAAATTTGCTTACCAAAAATATTGTTAGAAAAGCTGTCTCCTTACTTGATCAATGTGCACTTATCAGTCACAAAGGAAAAGGAAACTCAGTCTGGCCAAATATGAAAGATTCCAGCTTTTTTCATGCACAAATCAGTGTAACATTAAGCGTTTTGTCCATGGATGACATCACAGTTTTCCCCATGAATGTGAATATCTCATCTACATAAAAGAGGCACCAAAGAAATCTTGAAAACAAGAGATCAAAATTTGAAGGATTGACAAAAATTATTTCATTGACCTTTTAAGTTTTATGAGTAATGCATTTTTCATGTCATGTTTTTAATTGTTTTGTCATGCATTCTGTTTTCTTTTTAACCTTTGTAAGCACTTTGATAACTTGGCTTTTAAGGCTAAAATGCAATATTTACATGTACATAAACAAGAACATTGATAATGTCCAAGTATAAACAGGAAAGATTTTATGAAAGACATCACTGGTTTGCATTTTGTTCATTTTGCTTCAGTTCAAATTGTCATGACGCGCGGCGGAGTCCCACCCCGGCCGGCTGTCTTCATGTCCCGCATGGACAAAGTGCGGGAAATCCGTGAGGCACTCTTCCAGCTGCAAGACAAGATTGGCTGGGTGCTAGTGCACGGCATGGGGGGCATTGGCAAGTCTGTGCTGGCCGCCGAAGCTGTCCGCAACTCCAAGATCCTCACAAGTGAGTTCTTGTCATTTTAATCATTTACTAAAGGCCGTTTTGTACTTCATTTGAATGCGAAAGTGCAGCAAAGTTTGACGTCACAAAAAATTTGCCGCTGAAAGAATCTTTGCAGTGTTTAAGCAATAGAAATCCTCAACATTTTAAAAGCGTCCATTTTCGTCATACCAAACCGAGTGACACATCAAAACAAAGAGCTTTAATTCTTCAATCTAATACAAACTCAAACTCAAATGTGGTTCTGGCAAAATGCGACTAATTTTTGCAGAGCTGGTCACAAATTTATCCAGGGGAAAACCCAGAGATGGAAATCAAACCCAATCCAAATGCTAACCTCGGCAATAGACCCAAACAATCCTGTCCCTTGTTCAGTAACCAGAGTTCCTTGTTGATTGCAGAGGTCTTTCCCGGAGGTGTGTTCTGGGTGGCCATCAGCAACATCGACAAATCCAAGCTGCTGACCAAGCTTCAGAACCTCTGTGCCCGACTGGACCAGGAGTCCCGCCCACCCCCACTCAACTTGGAGGAGGCCAAGGACAGGCTGCGATTGGTGCTCGTGGAGCAACACCCAAGGTAGGTTTTATCAGGGGTCTTAAACCCAATCCTGTTTAGCTCTTTCTTGGTAGTTCAACAATATTAGACACACCTGAAAGTAGAACCCTGCTAAATGCAAAGTAGAACCCTGCTAAATGCAAAGTAGAACCCTGCTAAATGCAAAGTAGAACCCTGCTAAATGCAACAACGTCAGACACACTGATAGTAGAACCCTGCTAAATGCAACAAAATTAGACGCACCTGAAAGTAGAACCCTGCTAAATGCAAAGTAGAACCCTGCTAAATGCAACAACATCAGACACACTGATAGTAGAACGCTGCTAAATGCAACAAAATAAGACGCACCTGAAAGTAGAACCCTGCTAAATGCAACAACATCAGACACTTGAAAACAGGACCCTGTTAAAATGGAAAATAAAGTCATGCTGAATGCAACACAGCTGAAACAAGAACCCCTTGAAAATGCAACCAGATACTACACAGACAAAACAAGAGTTCTGCTGAGTGAAGCAAAAAAGCAACAAATTTCACTTGTGGATTCTTTAGCCTGTGCAGTGTGATGAATAAACACCAGGCAAGGGGACTATTAACAGGACTCCATCGTGTGTCCACTACTTAATGCAAAAATATGAGAAATAAATGTTAAATGTTGTACAGATACACGTGGGTGTAATATCCTATAAAACCTGTGGATATTTTCTCTCGGGATTTTAGGTAAACTTCACATGTGCACGTGGAGATGATACTGAAAACTGGAATTGAACAAGTTCCGTGCAAAATTCCATTCGAGCTAATGGTCTTTTTAATTGAAATTCTCAATTGAAATGGTGAATTTTGTCAATGTCATTTCTTTTTTCCTGTCTTCATATTGCATTAACCACATGATGGCACGATTAAAGTGCTTTTTGATGTTCCGTGTTGTTCCTGTCGTTGAAATGGGGTTAAAGGATTTCCTGATAAAAGAAATCATTGATCCTTTTAAGTAACTGAAACCCCTGCAAGGTTTGCAGCATTGATAATGTTATCATTTTTTTGGTACAAAGATCCCTAGATCTACATGTACAGTGTACATATCTATGACACGTTCATGTATTTAGCCGCTTCTCACCTTTATCCTTGAACATGTTGAAGAAAGAAGTTGCAACACTGCCAAAACGGGCATCAGAAGGTTGAACAGATGTACACAGACTTGTACGGTCAAACCTTGCCAACCCGCCAAGCCCCCCCCCCCGGGTGTACTGATATGTAAAATCATATTGGAATTGCAGGATTGACTGTCATTGTACATGTATCAGGCATGCAACTTTCCATGGATCGGCTGATTTCCTCAAAAAAATGCACGTCTGGTAGAGATTGGAATTACGTCGTATTTTGTTAAAGTCCAAGTTGCATCCCTGGTTTTAATAGAGGTGCCTTTGCAAATAAGGTTGCCATGGTTTGGCAAATGTGGCCACTGTGGGTTGCCTGTGTTGCAAACGACCATCTCAAACGTGGTTTCACTGCACTGAAATAGCGAGGACATTAATCATGTAAATAAGTCCCACTCATATGTCTTCATTGATTTCATTCCTAATAATACAAGGTTCCTGTATATAACAAGGTTACCTGCCACATCCGCATGACCTCTTATTCACAAGGTTGAGCTGCACATGTACATGTTGGGCTCTGCAGTACTGGCATTGTAAAGCTCCGTGGCCAAAACATTTTAGTGGCAACCTAATCATGCAAGATGCATGTTAAAACCACAAACAGTATCTGCCTGGATTTCATTAAATGCCCTAAGCTGCAATCCCTTAGGGTCTTTTTATTTTGCAAAGCAGGCCTTGTTAGCAAAAAGCAGGAGTTCAAGCACTCAACACTCGTAAAAGAAACCTTTTTTTAGATATGGCAGTTTTAATCAATAACTTCTCATAGGCTGGCAGCCTGTAAAACTTCTGCGATTTATGGCCATTTCTAGTATACTGCGATTCACTGGTATCAACTTCAAGTAAGTGAAAGCTTTTGGACTTGAGGCAGACTCCAGTCATGAAAGTGTTGAAATATAAAAAGCAAATTCTTTCCCAGTTAATCAAATTGCACCAAATCAAACTAATGACCTCGGGCAAATTATTTTAAAATTGATAAAAATGCTCTATTTTCCTTTGAATTTTGTTTTGTTTTGTTTTGTTTTGTTTTAGGTCTCTGCTCATTTTGGATGACATTTGGTCAACCAAGGTTGCTCGGATATTTGACGTTCAGTGTAGAGTTCTAGTAACTACCAGGGACAAAAGCGTTGTAGATACCATTTCAAGTAAGAAGTCTGAAAATATAGAAACAATTCATGATGAGGCAATATAAAAAATGAGTGGTCTCACATTGTGGTTGCTTTCCCCTTGTTCTAAATCGTCACAGTCGGGCATTCATTTATACATGTATGCGGCACAGGCTCTTGACCATGTTGACTGCACTCCTTCCACAAGTCTGTGCTGGAATCTGTTCCTTTAATTGACCGCCTGTTTGCATTCAAGTCACAAATCAATTTGGTTTTTTTTCCATTCAAGCTTGATCCCCAGATTTTCTGTAAAAGGTATTTAGAAGCTTTGGGGGGAAAAAGATGGCCCATCTTCCTTGAATAAATTCTTTCCCTGGATACGAATTGCAACTGTCGCAGCAACAACAATCAAGCTGAAACATCCCAACATGATTTCATTTCATCAGGTCCAGTCACCACGATCAGTTTGGAGCATGGATTCTCTGAATCCCAAGCCTTGGAGACCTTGGCGCTGTGGACCGAAAAACCCAGGAAAGAGCTTCCTCCCGAAGCACATCAGATCTATGAAGCATCAAAAGGTAACACAGATTATCTTCTTAGAATCTTTGCCGCGGAGTGATTACATTATCAAGGTCAGAGGTCTGCATTGGCACGGTAACCAGATCTCGACTAGTATAGTTAACATGGCGGCTTCTAGCTATGACATAACCTCCACGAATGTCCTAATACTTTCGAAGCTGTTTTGTTCCCCCCCTCATTTTGAAACCTAAAGAAATGACGCATGTGAAGTTTAACAGTGTTGGTGATCATCATCAACATAATTAACCAATGCCGGGAAAAACAAATGGAAATATTTGGAAGACTAAATCATCAACTCTGAGCACTCGTTCACTACGGATGGCCGATCCAGTTGTTATGCTCATTACTTGATCCGTCTCTAGGAAATCTCAATGCAAGTTTGTGCCACGTTTGCCTCAGTGTATAGCACTTGCACTGACTTGCAAGCATCTCTTTTGGAATCAATCTGTAAAGGAGGAATGGGTATTTTACATCTCAGTTAGGTCTGGTGATCAGACTAGAATGTTGTAACACCACTGTCATTGCCTGTGTTGACTGGGGCAAAGCAAAGCTCAGCCACCAGCTTCCTTTTTAAAAGCATTTGAAAGTTATACAATGTAAATACTGTTCGTTGACTTTTTTCTGTATAGTACCAAAGAGGCTACGTCATGCCCATAATTATGTATTTAAAAGGCATAAGCGCGGGAACCAGTGCTTGAACCAACATGCATTTGCATACTCTATTTGCTTGCACTACACTTCCTGGTTCTAAATGATGTCACACCTTTAGTACTAAAGTGGACAGCTTACACCATGCTTGGGTCATTCCATGAAGTTGGGGCACAATTTGTGACTGTGTCCATTGTTATGTGGGTTCCATGAAAATGAGCAGCTATTTCCCTGCAGGTGGATTCCAAATTGACATTGTTATACGTCTTGCAAGGCTGAATACAGAGGTGTGTAATTTTTACAGAGTAATGACTGTACAGGTCATTACAGGTGGTAAAAGTTACCCATGTAACAAGGACACCGTCACAAAATTGTGCCCCAACCTCATGGAATGACCCATACCTACATGTAAAATGCATACGATGATCCCCTGGCTTTACATGTAGTTAATCCTCTGGTCATCTCCTTGATTGGTGGACCTCTCCGAGACCTAAAATGCATACGATGATCCCCTGGCTTTACATGTAGGTAATCCTCTGGTCATCTTCTTGATTGGTGGACCTCTCCGAGACCTAAAATGCATACGATGGTCCCCTGGCTTTACATGTAGGTAATCCTCTGGTCATCTCCTTGATTGGCGGACTTCTCCGAGACCACCCCCACCGCTGGGAGTACTACCTCAAGAAGCTGAAAGAGAAGAAGTACAGTCGGCTGCGCAAGGCCTCATCCTACGAGTACGAGAGCGTGGACGAGGCCATGGGAGTCAGTGTGGACCAACTGCCGGATGAGTCCCGAGAGCTCTACTTTGACTTTGTCATTTTTGATGGAGGAGTCAAGATCTCTGCAAAGGTAAGGTGATTGGCTAAGATGGAACGGAAACGTTTCACACCGTTCACACATGATCACACTTTTGAGGCAAGGTACTCATTTCTTTGTATCAAGTTGGTGTCTTTTGGTCAGTGGTTCAAAGGCTTGAATAAAAACAAAGTGCCACAGTTAAACTTTTTGACAGTAATTTATCCAAAAATTCTGGAAAACTGTAATGCAATAGTAGTTATAGACTGAAGATTTTGCCTTGAGTGACGTCATACTACTGCTCATCATGCAAAGTTTAATTATTTTTATTATTCAAACAAGATTCTAAAGGCCTTAACAGTGGCAGAACGAAGATTGTAAATCAGGTTAACAGGTTACACAAGTGGATAAATTTACAGGAACTGCACGACAAAGTTGCAACTCAGAGCACCCTGGAAAAGTACATTTCATAATGAAACTGTAAATCTTTGATGCCCCTAGGTGCTCAGCATCTTGTGGGACATAGAGATGGAATCCGTGGAGGACGAGATGCTTCAACTGGCCAACAAGTCCCTTGTTCGTCAGGAATGGGACGACAAGTTGCGCTGCATGATCTACACCGTGCATGACTTACAGCTAGACTTCATCAAACAGAACAGCGAAAACCAGAAAGTAAGCTGATACAAACTGATACTTACTTAGGTGGTACAAATGAATACCCATCTTTAACTCAGTTGGGTATTGCAAATGTATACTAACTGAGGTGGTACAAAGGGATGTTCACATGTAGGTGGCACTAAATGTATACTCTTTTAGGTAGTACCTATGGATACTCACTTAGGTGGTACAAATGGATACTCAGATGGTACAAATGGATACTTACTTAGGTGATACAAACGGATACTCACCTAGGTGATATAAATGGATACTCACTTGGGTGATACACATGCATACTCACTTAGGTGGTACAAATGAATACTCATTTAGGTGGTATAAATGGATACTTAATTGGGTGGTACAAATGGATACTCGCTTGGTTGGTATAAATGGATACTCACTTGGGTGGTATAAAAAGATAGTCATTTGGGTGGTACAAATGGATACTCACTTGGGGGTACAAATGGATACTCACTTGGGGGGTACAAATGGATACTCACTTGGGGGTACAAATAGATACTCACTTAGGTGGTATAAATGGATACTCACTTAGGTGGTACATATGGATACTCACTTAGGTGGTACAAATGAATACTCACTTGGGTGGTACAAATGGATACTCGCTTGGTTGGTATAAATGGATACTCCCTTGGGTGGTATAAAAGGATAGTCATTTGGGTGGTACAAATGGATACTCACTTGGAGGGACAAATGGATACTCACTTAGGTGGTATAAATGGGTACTCGCTTGGTTGGTATAAATGGATACTCACTTGGGTGGTATAAAAGGATAGTCATTTGGGGGGGTACAAATGGATACTCACTTAGGTGGTATAAATGGATACTCATTTAGGTGGTATAAATGGATACTCACTTGTGTGATACACATGGATACTCACTTAGGTGGTACAAATGAATACTCATTTAGGTGGTATAAATGGATACTCACTTGGGTGGTACAAATGGATACTCACTTCGATGGTACAAATTGATTCTCACTGGGGTGATTCTTATGGATTGTCCCTTGGGTAGTTCAAATGGATACTCACTTGGGTGGAACAAATTGACACAATAGATGGTACAAATGGATAGTACAAAAAGACACGTGACTGGTACAAGTAGATACTTACGTGGGTAGTACAAATGAATTCTTGGATGTTAATTCTAATTTTCTTTCTCATTTTTTTATTAGGATGTGCACAAAAAACTGGTCTGCAGTTACAAGAAGCTTTGTCAAGGCAAGTATCACACCTTAGAGGACGACGCCTACATCCACGAGTACCTCCCCATGCACATGGCCAAGGCTCACCTCTTCTCAGAGCTGCGCGGCCTCCTGCTCAACCTGGACTGGATCGTGGCCAAGCTGGGTGTGATGGGGTTGGCAGCGCCGGCCTATGTGCTCAGCGATTACGTCAAATACAGCCACTACCTCATGACGAGAGAGGTGAGGAAGGAAAGCCTAAACTAGATGTGTGGCAGTGCCACGTTATAAACAAGGATGTTTTGAGCCAGTGGGCTTCCTTCTGTTTGCCTTATGTCGATTCGCATGAAGCACATTGCATGCTGCCCCGGTAATATGATAAAAGACCAGCGTGAATGACGGCGCCAATTGTCTTTTCTTGTAGGGCTTGGCAATATTTTTTTATTCACGTTACAAGCACTATAGCATGTGGCGTGGATACAAAAATTGAAATGCGTCTACTTTGCAGGCTTTATTCAGCATGTACATGTACGTTACAACCCAGTCTTGTCCCAAGTTGAATCCTGACACTATTATTTGTCACTCAGTGATAAATTTAGATTTTTCGGATGCCTGATAAGATTTTTTTCCTACGATTTGACAGGAAATGGATCTTGCCAAGGAATTCCAGCTCTTTGTTAGCGTCAATTCCCACCTCCTTGTCCAGTCGCCCAAGCCCGACGTGACGCAGCTCGCCCTCAGCCAACCACCCAACTCCTTGGTCTACAAGCAAGCCCACCAGAGGGCGCTACAGAGTAAAACAGGTTTCTTTGTCAATTGGCGGTAAGTTATTTTTGCCGATCTCATCTGTAAGTCTTTATCCACCTTTTCAGTGTGGATTTTTCCTGTACTTTCCACATTTCTCATTTTTTTGGTTGGCATTTTTCTCATCAGGGAGGTCAGATCATCATTATGGGATTGATGTTGATTTTAATCATTAGGTGTTTTTTGTTCCCTGTACCAAGTTGTCTGAAACTTTTATTTCAAAAAGGGGAGATTTTTAAAGTTATAGAATAGTGTGAAAATTGTGGTTCCTGGCCAACTTCAGATGTCGCCCAGTCACTTGCTCCTACTACCCTGATTTTAGCTACTTTTTTGTGCTCTGCTCATATTTTCACAGCAATAGACCGTCTAAAATGGACTCCATACTCATGAGAAGCAAGGTTCATGAGGGAACAGTGTCCTGTGCAAACTTCTCACCGGAAGCGGATTTGGTCGTGTCTTGCGGAGAAGATGAGAACATCAAGGTATTCTACGCAAAACAGATCTCTGTGTTGTGCGCCCAAATGTATTTCCCCCTAAAAGGCTTTTTTCTGGCTTATGGTCAACATTGGTTGCTGGGTGAAACTTCAAAATTGCCAGCACTTTAATGATGGCAAGCATCCAACAAATACTGCTACAAGCTAAAGAGAAAAAGCTTGTGGAATGATTGCAGTATCACTCATGTTTAGAAACAGGAACAAAAGTTACTAGATTCGGTTGTAAAAGTGTGGTCTATGCGTGGTGGCTTAGAGCCTTGAAAGATTGCTGCGGCACAAAGTCAATCTTTTCTCACATGAAAGCAAATATCTGTTTCTGTGAGCTCTCATGTGAGACATGACAGCAAGTCATTTTCTAAAAGTCACGGAAATAGAAACACAAGTCAACTCGAGTCCAAGCCACATGATTCGTCGACAGCTCTGCCTGCACCAATGGCCTCACAGTGTCACAAAGTGTATTGTCTTTATCAGAGACAATTATCAGCAGAAATGAAATCCACAACTTTTCCTGTGTGACAGCACAGGCGTTTCAATGACCTTTTGTCTCAAAATCTTGATTTCGTTCTCGCAGATATGGGAGAGCATGTCAGGGCGAGTTAGCCTCATGTTCAACACTCACGAGGAGCACGTCAACTATTGTGAGTTTTCACCCGACGGCAGCAAGTTACTCAGCTGTTCAAATGACAAAACTCTGAAGGTACTGACAACTATTTCATTCCTGTTTAAGCGCCAAGTTTACTGCCAAATTTGAGATTTTGTTTTTACTCTGGACACTGTTCAGAATTCAAAGACTTCAGATGGTCAGAATCTTGGGCAAACTATAGCTTTCAAGAAAAGGTCTTCCGAAAACACTCACTTATGTATACTAAGGCGTATAGTGGCCTTGTTGTGTTTAGCTTTATTTTGAAGTTGTCTTGTGTACATGTGACTGCATTGCAGCAAATGTTAAGTGTTAGGGCTTGGGAATATTGCCGAAAAGAAGTCAAAACGATCTTGTGAAAATGACTGTAAAAGGTCAGCAATGTTCATGAAGAGCGTGCTTGATTACACCCCTCGAGCCACTACCCATGGTGCCATCGTGGGTTTGGAGGGTGTGCTCACTCTGTGGTAATAACTGAACGATCTTGGGTTACTTGAGACTGGGTCAAGAGGTTGTGCTGATGTGAAATTTGCCACACAAATTCAAGATTGTTCACAGCATTGGACAATCACATGCATTGTTGCATTTGAGTCCATTACAAGTCCAGTCACAAGTCCCTTTACAAGGCCAATCCTAATTACCAGGGTGACCAATGACAGAAGAATGCTTTTGTCACAGCTCATTTGAATAGCTTCTGAATTGGCTTAAGACTGAATGACTTGTGATGGACTTACAGGGACTTGTGATGGACTTACAGGGACTAGCAGGGACTTGTGATGGACTTACAGGGACTAGCAGGACTTGTGATGGACTGACAGGGACTAGCAGGGACTTGTGATGGACTTACAGGGACTAGCAGGGACTTGTGATGGACTTACAGGGACGTGTGATGCACTTACAGGGACTAGCAGGGACTTGTGATGGACTTACAGGGACTAGCAGGGACTTGTGGTGGACTTACAGGGACTAACAGGGACGTGTGATGGACTTACAGGGACTAGCATGGACGTGTGATGGACTTACAGGGACTAGCAGGGACATGTGATGGACTTGCAGGGATGTGTGATGGACTTACAGAGACTAACAGGGACGTGTGATGGACTTACAGGGAGTAGCAGGGACTTGTGATGGACTTACAGGGACTTGTGATGGACTTACAGGGACTAACAGGGACTTGTGATGGACTTACAGGGACTAACAGGGTCTTGTGATGGACTTACAGGGAGTAGCAGGGACTTGTGATGGACTTACAGGGACTAGTGATGGACTTACAGGGACTAGTGATGGACTTACAGGGACTAAAATACAGTACTTTCCACACACACTCATGGTCTGGTGCCCTCATTTCAGTGGACAGCATGTACGGTACATGTAGCAATATTTTTAAACTGTCGGTTAAACTTTCCTTCATATTTGATTTTTGAACCGCCACATTTCTGCATTGATAACTGGGATACCACCCCAAGTACACGGCTGGGTGGGTTGATTACTTAAATTTGGCCAGGCCTGAATATTAGCGGGACAAGTCACATGAGTGTCAAAGCAAATGTAGTCGCTCTTGTATGAGTAAGCCTAAGTAGTCCAACACGTCACTGATGTCATTGTCTCTTTTTTAAATTGCCAAAATTTTCGGCCACACCTAGGTTATTGAGAAAGAAATGCCTTCCACAGGTGGTTAAATGCTCTGCTGTGGTCTTGGTCAGGTCACAGACTACAAATAGCTTTCTGTTCATTTCACTCTTCCTTCTGTAGCTATTTAATATTCATGAAGAGAAGCTGATCGCGACGTTTTACGGTCACACGGCTGAAGTGTACATGTGCGTGTTCTCCCACGACGGGCAGAAAGCGGCGTCCTGCTCGGAGGATATGACGGTCAAGGTAGGCAATGGAGCAAGAGTTGGAGCGCTTGGCCATTTTCCAATCCTCGGATACTAGTGGCTGTGTCTCTTCTGAATCCTGCCAGAAGCATGAAGATGTTCCAGACTTTTGAGCAGATACGGGATTTGCAGAAAGCCCAAGGGTATTTTATACTGGGGAACTTGGGAACAAACCATGTGCTCAAGTCCTCGTAGGCGGCGTTGATATTACGGACCTCGCAAGCATGTGTGAATGACCTCTTACACAATTTATTGGGGGCATGCACAGTTGGAACACTAAACCACTCGTTTTCACAAAAGATACGTTATACCCTGTGCTGATAAAGCCTTTGTTATTACTTTTTGTCTGAGGAATAGCTTGTGTCTGAAATTAAAACCGGTGCCTTTGATTGTGAAAAAGGGGGTATTTTGTGAAGTGTTTTTGAAATCCCTGACTCTAGTACATACACAAGCCTGTCCAACATTTTAATCTCTGAATGTGACAATCCGTTTTGATTTTGACCCCTGTCAGGTGTGGGATTTGGTCAACCTGAGACTCCTTCGCACACTGACCGGTCACTCCGAGGCGGTCAAGGGCTGCCAGTGGTCAGGCGACGACAAGAGCATCGTCAGCTGTTCACATGATTCATCAGTGAAGGTGAACGTTTCGTTGATAATGAGCCTTTTGCAAGTTGAATTGGAATAAAATCTGGAACATTGAGTTCTCTGTTTGCACATAAACATAACGATTTGA